TGAAGTGCCAGTGCTGAATATCATGCAGATAAAGAATACCGTTGATTTCGGTAGTCGGCCTAACGAGATCAGACGTCGTTATCAGCTCAGCGCGAGAGCGTTTTAGAAATCTGCTTACTCTGCTTCGAGCCATTTGATGATCTTCTTCAGTTGCTCGTTGTCTCTCGAGCCATCTGAATTATCGAAGCCTGGTGTGTCGACGAGGCGTACAAATACCCCCTTTTTATTAGGGTTTGCAGCTACGAATGCTTGTACGTCCATCGTACACGATGTCATACCAAGACCCACTTCAGGGCCATTGGAATCTACTGCGTTCTCTCCAATCGCGGCGGAGATGAACTTAAAAACTCGCGCGTTATGTGCATTATAAGAGTAATTTTTTTAAAGCGCTCTAACCTTGCTCTTTCCGGCGCCGGTCATTCCTAGTAATCTGAACGAAATCATAAGTGAGCGAGAGAGAACAGCAATCGTGATCTCACAGAATAGTAGGCGGTTGAGGACTATTTGAAGTGAGAGAAATAATCAATGAGATTTAAGATATATCAATATTAGGTCTGTGCAAGGTGTAACTCGCCTTTCTTTGACTCTTTGTACCATATTCACTATGTACGATCGTAGGGATTCAAGAAGTTTGGTCAATGGTAGGAATCATCTATACCAATCCAATTTATATAGATACGCCATGCAGTGCATCGGATGAGTTCTCAGCCGTTAAACCTGCAGGAGAAAGGCAGGCTTCATACGACCTACACATGTTCTTAATTCATTATGCATGAGGCCAGAATCGATGATCAAAGCGCTATTAATAGAAACGAAAGAATCACAAAACGGCCATGAATCGGTGCAACGAATCAGTGAATGTTCTTTCCTATACAGCGTAGAACAGACAAGCGTAGTGTAACTGTTCGATTCGCCATTGGCCTGAATATGGATTTTGCAGGAGGAGGAAATACATTATCACAACTCGCGTGCCCCATTTGGCGATAAATACCATATCCAGAATATCCTCCGAAACAATTTGCAACGAGACGTGGTTATTGTTGAAAAAAGATCACGTCCTCGCTTCAACATGTAACTAGAAATACAAATTTTGAATGGGTAATTACCAAAGTAGCTGTAACCAAAATCAAGAAAGTAGTATGGTTTGTAAGTGGTGAGAGTCGGATAAAGTATGTATGTAACAAAAATGCTTGATCTACTCAAGATCGTAGTGGAAAGTGGATCACATAGATATATGTAACAACGACATGCATATGTGAATGGTGCGTTAGCCGGCCCTAGTCGGTCGCAGCGGATATGTATAAACATAGCGCGGAGGTTCATGAATACAGGATAAGATACGAGCAGCGGTAGACTGTGGCCGAGCTGACAGCAGAGCATCCACGGCGGAGGCCGGAGACCAGGCGTAAGAGGGCGCTGTGTGAATGACATTGTGCAAATGTCGTTCTTTTGTCGTGACCGGGGGGTAAGAGGTAAATTCAATAAATTACGCTATTCGAACCATGGATCGACTCGGTCACCGCGCCTTGACTCCAGGCGTTGCAGGCGAACTGGTGGCAGCGGAAGGGTGGTGCATAATCCGCGTCGACTTGGATCCGACCCCCAGCGAGGAGTTCGTAGCGGGTTGGGGCTTGTTGACCAATGCCGCTTGAACCAGACTCGAATTCAGAATCGAGGGTGCGGAAGCGGTCATATCCGACGGTATGGGCTCCTCTGCGTCGCCATTTGTCAAATGAGGCTCGTGTGCATGGACGGCCGTTCCATTCGAATGCCCGTGTGCTGACGGCGTCTGCGACCTCGAAGCCACCGCCGTCGACGACCCGGCCTCGCTCGCGGTCTCCGACATCGGCGTGTTCCTCCGCCGTGCATTGACGCTCCTCACGATCCTCGGCCCAAAGCCCGCCGCGCGCACCGACGCAGACGCGGACACCCCCAGCGGCAAATGCGTGCTCATGCTCATCGTGTCGACCGCCCCCTGCCCCTCCTCGCCCCCTCTCCCGCCGCTCAGTCTCGCCTTCTCGCCGCCCTTCGCCTTGGCCTTCTTCGGCGACTTCATCACGCCCACGCCGACCTCGCTGACGAGCGACCCGAGGCTGCCATGCAGGTCCACGACCTTCACCTCCGGCTTGAGCGTCTCCTCCGAGCCGATGCTCAGCCCGTCGCCGTCCGTGCTCTCGCCGTCCGCGTCCCGCAGCCCGTCCGCGCCCGCCCGCCCGCCGCGCGCCGTGCTCCGGCTCCGACTCCGGCTCCTCCGAGGGTCCGCCCCGTTGGCCCGGACCCCCGCGTCCGCGGCCGCGCGCCCGCGGAGGTACACCCCCGGGCGCGGGTGCACCGCGCGCTCGTAGTAGAGCATGAACGCGCCCGCGCCCTCCGCGAGCACGCTCTCGAGCCCGCACTCCGCGACCGCGTCGTCGCTGATGCGCAGCCACCCGCGGCCCGTGCCCGCCTCCGCCTCCGCGCGGTCCTCCCAGTAGTACCGCGTCTCGCCGAACGTCGACGACCCCGCGTAGGTCGGCGGCGCCTGCTTCGCCGCGGTCTCGTCCTCGAGCTCGAGCTCCAGCCGCAGCGGGTCGACGAGCGTCGGCGGGACCCACTTCCCGTGCAGCCGCTTGGGCTTCCGCCGGTAGCAGATGTAGTGCCCGAAGGAGTGCTGCCCGTAATGGCACACCACCGCCGCGAGCCTGTATATCGTCCGCTGCGCGCCGGGTGCGTACGTCTCCTGCGTAGGCGTGCTCGGCCGTGGCGGGTGGCTGCTAGACACTGAGCTCGAGGTAGACGCGGAGCTGGAGGCCAGGAAGGATTGGGTAGTTGGGGGTGGAGACGGGGTGGAGATGGCGCTCGTGGGGATGGTGGAGAGGCTTCCGGAGGTGGTGTAGGGCGTGAGATCGAGCACTTCGGGGAAGTAGACGCGGATGGTGTTCTTGGCTGCGTATTGGCCATAGTGTACGGATCTGTTCAGGTGGAGGGCGAGCACAGGTGGAGGCTAGATAAAGCGAAAATAATGAATACTAGATGTGGTTTAAATGGACTGAGATCGTGAAGATGATGACGTACCCTGGCAATCATAGCTTGCTTCGTGGATGCAGGACTGACGACTCTCTCAAGCCGAACACCGTCCAGGAACGACTCGTCTTCAATCCTGCCCTCAGTAAGAGCCGTCTTTACACGCTGTTCCATCCGCTTCACCTCTTTGAACCTCTTTTTCTTCGAATTAGACGGTTTGCTCTTGCTAGGCGAGGCAGAAGGCATGGTCGATGACGATGCCGCCGGCGAACCAGGAGCAAAGGCGGAAGCGGACGATACTCCTGCACTAGGTTCGATCGCCTCGCGTAGTGTTTCGAGCTCCTGCAAGAGGCGTCTGTGGGTGGCCAATACGGAGCATTTACGGCAAACACAGTCCTTGAGAATCTCGAGACGGGTGTAATCTTCGAGGCAGTCTTCGAGGCGGCATGACGTCTGTGTGTGTGATTCCGGATATAGATTTGGACTGCTAAAATAGAGACAAAATGCGACCCACCGCCAGCCTAGGCAGAGCCAACTGCCAATTATCAAAGCCAAAATGCATCACCGCCTCCGTGTAGCCGCACACGACGCAGCTCCTCCGGTTCGCCGTCAGGCCGTCGAACACGCTCTTGCTGCTCAGGCCCCGTGGCACGGCCGATGATGATATGCCCTCGTCATCCGCCTCGTTCCCCTTCTCGCCTGGTGGGGATGCAGCGCGGGGCGTGCTGAGGTCGAGCACGCCGGCGATGCCGCGGTCTTTGAGGCCCTCCCAGTCGACGGCGCTGGTCTCGTTCTTGATGCATTCGGAGACGAGCTGGAAGAGTTCTTGCGCGTCCTGGTGCTCGCGCGAGGTGAAGAGGGAGGATGCGGTGCTCGGGTGGAATGTGCCTTTGAAACCGGGGGGTGGGGGTTGAGGCGCAGATAGCACTGAGATGATATCGTGTGGTCGGAGAGAGTGATAGGATGATTTGGGGGTGTTGAGTTCTAGGATATGCATTCTGTTAGTACATACATTTCGAATGATGGGCAAAGAAGACCGACTGGTGAATAGATCCTGGAGAGCGTCTATGACAGGTGTCGGAACGTCCAAAGCCTCGGCCTTTGCGTGGACGGCGTCGATATGTGGTTGCAGATAGGACAATGAAGCCAGTGCCTAGCACGGTATAGTTTTAGTAAAGTACATCGGAAGCTTCTAGAGACCCATACCTGTAGTGTAGAATTCATGAAGCAATATGTCCCGGAAATGTTGACAAGGCCAGGATAATATCCGGCTTTCTCTAATTGAGCGTCTATAACAGCGTTGTCTAAGACCCTTCAGTACTTTCGTATCGTTAACAGCATCGAGGAACCACTCACTGGCATTGGCCTTGTCCAGTTCGTTCATTGCAATTTGCTCAGCCCGGGTCCAGACCAACTTGTTCTTGGAGGACCCCCCACTGGACTTCTTGTGTCTCTTGCCACGAGAGCCACTCGACGAGCTGGCGGATTGTGATGACGAGCTTGGCCAGAGCCATGGTATGGAGAAGCCCAAGCTGTCGAGACCCATCCTCACGGTATGAAACCAACCGAGGACGAAACGGTGGAGGCTGAGCCGACGAAGATACTGCGCTGCGAAGAAGACGAGTGTTGGGATTACGACAAGGACGATAAGGGGGGCCGTCTGCTGGAAGAGAGGACTCTGGAGAATGAGGATGGCCCACTCCTGGAAGCGCATGTGCCGTCGCTGCTGGACACGGTCGAGACGAGGTGGACGTCACCGGTGGACAGAGCGCCAATGACTGGCTATATTCCACAGGGGCGGCGGTGGTGGGCAGTCGACTGCGAGCACCGTTACGGCTACCTAGCGCAATGGTAGCGCGTTTGGCTTCGATGCTTAACGGGTACCAAAAGTTGCAGGTTCGAGTCCTGCGGTGGTCATTTTTGGCAAGCTGCTTGGTAATAAATCACGTGAACATCGCCATAGGGCGCCTCCACCATCATCTCCACTTGACCTCCACGGCTACCTAGCGCAATGGTAGCGCGTTTGGCTTCGATTGCTCAACGGTTACCAAAAGGTTGCAGGTTCGAGTCCTGCGGTGGTCAACTTTTTACTTCGAGAATTGACCCGATAACTTTCAGCTCGCTGAGTGATTTAAGCGCCCATAAGTCGCTTTTATCACTTCATATTTTGCATATATATTGTGTATGTAGTGTAGAATAAAATATCTGCTACATCGTTAGTGAATGATACAGGTAACCCGTGGCACCAAGAGGCCGACCTGTAATCCTAGTACTTACCCGCCGAAACCCCTACCCACGTCGGCTACAAGACAGAAAATCCAATGGAATTCATTTGTAAAATTTTTGCAAGCTTTCCAAAGACTTGTAACTCTCAAATTCCTCGCGTAGGATTCCAGCTCAGCAAACCCTTGTAATGATCACTTGCATTCTAATGGATTCTATTGCCTTGCAAATGGATTATATTGCCTTGCAAACGTTGAAAGTGTTCCGCGCATTCTATGGTGAATTATGATATTGTAATAAAGCCTCTATTACCCTACGTTTGTGACCAGATTTTTTTTTGAACCACCACCATTTAGCTCATTTTACAGCTATCTAAGTAGTTTTATGAGCTCTCTTTCTCCTCCTTTCTTTCCTTTTGTGAATTTTTTTTCAGTTCTTTCTTGAAAACACCCAGCCTATTGAAGGGAAAACCTTATTGATTGGAAAATAATAATGCGTGCATTCGACGCGTCAATATATTTCCACGTGACCGGCGCGTCTCCTGTGAAGAAATGGAATGACGCGTAACAAGTTTTCTTTCCGACTCCAACACCATCTATGCAATTCTCACATCACTCCTCCAATCCCCTGGAAGCCCGCAAATCCGATCCACGCAACGCCTCGTACAAGGCCAGGCTGCAGGCAGCAGAAGCAGAAGCAGGCTACGACGAGTCCTCCGACGATCCACTGGCGATGACCATAAAGCAGCAGAAATACATCGATCATCTCAGAGAAACGTTGGGCGCAGAACTATTGCCTCCCAAGCGAGGTGGCCCGTCCGATATCACGCCCAAGCCAGGCGTGAGTCGCGCTGCCGCGGCTGCGAAGGCACAGTTCGTCGATCTGGACGCGAGCGATGATGAACTGGCGCTTGTGGACGGCGACGAACGACATCTGACGCGAAAAAGGTGATCAAGCTCGAGACGCCGCGTCCATACCATTGGACGACAAGACACGTACCTCTTGATATAGCGGAGGACGAGGAGGATCCTGAAATGGCGCTTGTGGACGGTGACGGA